CTGCTATCCGATCCGATTTTTTTAGGGCTCAGTAATGCACTGTCTCGACAAGAACATTTGGCAGTGCTTTAGCTCGTTTGGAGATATCCGCGGTACTCAGCATTACCGCTCCTGTCGGGGGTTACCACCCCTACACCTGATGAAGTACTTTGCCGATCATGAGTGAGCATAGTGAGTGACTTAAATAAGCAGACGAATCGCATATTTTTAGTTTTCAAGTTGAAATATTACAGGAGAATGAATATTATCAAGAAGAACTGAGGAACTTGCAACGCAAATTGTTGAAGCTTTCACGCGATAAAAATTTCTTATTGGACAGGATGTTAATGTATGAGAATGTGGATTCGTCCGAAGAGTCGGACAGCTCGACAAAAACTGTCGAGGAAAAAGGACCACCGAAAAAGTGAGCTGATTTGAAAAGTTCGCAGTTCTAACCTCATCTCTTGCTGAAAAAAAAAAAATGCCAAGGCATTTTTGAGAATGGAAGCAGTTTCTCCAACGGCTTCAAAAGTGGTGATATGTTCATGTGGAGAGACGGCTTGTGGCATTGGACATGCACCTCAAAGTGTCCCCAGTCTATTTCTTATTTCCTACCCTGAATCCAACAACAGTAACAATTTCTACAACACTGTTCTGCGATTTCCTCTTTCGAGGGTTTATTTCGCAAGCAAGTTGATAGCGCTTCAAATGTCGGTTAAAAAGAGATTGAATGCAAGATTTCGCAGTTTTTCTGCATTCTTAATTCGATTTTGATTGCAATCAGTTTACTTCGAAGTAATTCTCAAAAGAAAATGCCATCGGCCGCCTCGTAAACATTGTTTTTGCTGTTGGCACCTGTTAACTCTCGGGCAACTTCTCGAGTTTCCCCGTCTCAAATACAGAAAGGGTTTCTTTTTGGCTGAATTTGACTCCTAACATTAAGATGTTTAGAAAATCTCGGCCAACCGCACCACGGCGTCGTCCAGCTCTAGCAAGACCGAAAACTTCCTGTACCAGTAGCACCCCGGATTTAAGTGGAGCAAAAACTTCGCATCAGCAACGACAACTGCAGCAGCAACAGCAGCAGC